GATGTGTGGACTTCAACTCCCAGAATTCTGGGAGTTGAAGTCCACACATCTTAAAGTTGATGAGGTTGAGAAATCCTGTTCTAGCATAATTCAATATGACCTTGAAAGCTGAACTAGAGCACAAACGTGAGTCAAACAATTTGCCAAATCCCCAGGTGAGCCTGCTCCGCATCTCTGTCAAATGGCCACATAAATGCTGCTGGATAAGACCAAAAGTCCTTCTTGTCTGGCATCCAGCTTCTCACGACGGCCAACGGGAGGCAGAGGGAATGCTGATGCGCAGCACCCCAAGAGTGAGAGCCACTGCTAACTTGGACTTCCCAATTTGTGATCTTGAGCAGTCATCTTTTGGATTACGTGAGCATCAGAGCTATCCCATATCATAAACCATGACTTTGTCTCAACCCCTTTTGTAGCTATCTCCATTAGTGGCTGGGAGCAGCAAACCATATGTTAGAAAAACCCATCCTTTGAACAATAACATGTTGAAGAAAAGGGTACTAGATGGTGTTCAGATGAATGATGGATGAACGAACTCATGGAGGAAGACACATTCATGACCATAAGTCATTGTGTCTACAGGACTAAGAGTTTCCCAACCTGGTGCCTCTCAGGTATATTGGATTTCAACTCCTATCATGCCCAGTAAGGCTAGAGAAAGGGAAGCAAGATCTAGCATATTTCCAGACATCAAATTGTAGGAAAGTTGCAGGAATATGGTTCTTCTTCTGAACCAACCTATACAGGCATACCTCGGAGATATTTCGGGTTTGGTTCCAGGCCACCTCAATAAAGCGAATATCTCAAAAAAGCAAGTCACACCATTTTTTTGGTTTCCCGGTGCATATAAAAGTTAGGTTTACACTATACTCTAGTCTAGTAAGTGTGCAATAGCACTATGTCTGAAAAAACAATGTACATACCTTAATTAAAAAATACTTTATTGCTAAAAAATGCTAACCATCATCGGATTACTAATAATGAAAACATTTGAAATATTGCAAGAATTACCAAAATGTGACACAGAGACACGAAGTGAGCAAATGCTGTTGGAAAAATGGCACCAACAGACTTGCTCGACCCCACAAATCTTCAATTTGTAAAAAAACCACAATATCTGCGAAGCACAGTAAAATGGTACATGTCTATTATGATAATGTATTTGCTGAGAGCAGAGAGAAATTCATCATTTTTCCTTTCCATGTTGGGATGAGGAGCAGGTGTATTCTCCAAATTACAAAATCCAAGTTATTTGCATGAGGGGGTCACAACATATGTGTCAACAACATCATGGCTTCTGCTGGATGCCTATGATCCCAGCCTGAAGCTCTCTGGACCTCAACCTGAGCTGAAGGCAGCCCATTTTAGGAGGCCCTGAAGAAAGGCTCCAGATGCTCCTCTTTGGTAAAGCTCCCTTACCTGACATAGGAGACATAGGTGCTCCACCGAAGGTAGGTAGGGATGGTCTTGAAGCTGACAAAGAAGCCAGAAAGGAGGAGGACTGGAATGGACGAAATGGGACCCACAAAAGTAGCCACCTGGGAGAAACATGATGGGAGAAAAGAGACATGTAGGAATGGTTGGAAAAGGACTGAGAGGGATGCTGAAAAGCCAAACCTGGATATGTAAACCAGCCATCCACATACTAGTGCCCTCCATCATCCCAAGCTAACTGGGTGTTGTAGCCCTGTATGTCCCAAGAGACCAGATGGGGAAAGCAGGCTTAAGTTAGATGCCTCTGTTTTACCTCCTTAGTTATGAGGTCCGGGACTATGGTTGGCCTAGGTGTTTGTAAGATAACATCACTTGCCTCATTTGCACGAAGATGTCACCAATTCCACTCTTGGACCTCTATGATGTTTCAAGCAACATTTGGGTTTTGTTTTTTTAAATCTGGAATTCTTGTGAAGACCCTGTTTGGAGCTGGGTGTTTTTAATCCAGCACAGAAATTATCTTGGAGGGATTATGGAGTGAAGAAAGTGACAAATAGTGAGGGAGGGTAACTTTTGTACCCATGACAAACCATAGGAATTTTGGAACACCTCCCCATGTTCACGTTTATTCCTCTCCCCACACATTTTCTGATTTGGGGCCATTCTCAGTTGGCCGTAACACGCCTTTCAAGAAATGAGAAAACTCTTTCTTGGCACAACAAGAGACCTTGGTGCCATGCGCTGCTACAAGCAGGATACTGGGCTGGTCAATGGGTACTCTTAAGGCAGTTCCCACCACTGTGCTGAAACCAATCCACCCCCATCCCCCCCCCCTCCCCCACAACGGGGGGGGGGGGGGGGGGGGGGGGGGGGGGGG